TCTGATCTTGTACGCCTATATATACTAAACTACACAAGAGCACTCAGGGAGCATGAGCCACTAAGAATGATGAGCCACGAAGAATGAAAGAAAGGAATGTCAAAGATAAAGGTACAAAGAATGAAGGGATGGATAAAGGGTAAGAGACCATAGAATGATACAAAGAATGAAGGGGTGGTCAAAGGAATGGAATGATGAAGTAAGGAAGGGTAGTGGCAAGAGTCAGCATGCATATAGTTCATAGACAGTGCCCCCAAGGGACGGAAGTCCTGAGTTCTGGTACGGAAGGGTGCAGAACCCTTGGAACTGAAGGTATGAGAGCAGAGAACTGTAACATCACCCCCCCTCTAAAACCAATCGTCCCGATTGGTGAGCATTGGGCTTGGTCAGTGGCTCAGGCATAGGTTGGAACAGTAGGGTTTGGAAATCTGTGAGGCAGAGTTGACACAGAGCACCCGGATGAAGTTGATAGAAGTCTTGGATCACCTTAGCAGTATGGGTGAGATTCTCAGCAGGTTCCCAAGTGTGTTCTTCAACTGGGTATCCCTTCCAGTGAATAAGGAACTTGAGCTTTCTGCACACCAGCTTGGCATCCACTATGTATTCTACTTTGTATTCTGGTTCAGAACCAATGAGTTCTGGTGGAGGCAGTGGGGGTCTTTGTTGTGAAGGAAAACCCAGATCATAGTATCAAGACAGCAGAACCTTGTTAAACACTGGGTGTATGTGCTTCCATGTTGCTGGAAGTTGGAGTTTGTAGGCAGAGGCACCAACCTTCTTTTCAATAACAAAGGGTCTGAAGCACTTGTTGTCCAACTTCTTCATTGGGCGATCCATGGTCAGGTTAGTGGCTTCCAGCATAACTTTGTCACCAGGCTGGTAATCCTCAGCCACAGACCTCTTCTGATCATAGTTCTGCTTCATGACCTGTACTGCCTTTTCCAAAAGAGCTTGTGTGTCCTCCCTGGTTCTGTGTATCTGTTCCACAAAGTCTGTTGTGGATTCGGAACTACTGTTCCGGTTCGGAACTGTCCCCTGGTATGGATGTCTCCCATGATTGAGGAAGAACAGGGACTGTCCTGTTGCAGAGTGTTGCTAGTTATTGTGCACGAATTCTGCCAGAGCTAGCCATTCAGACCAATCCAATTGCTGATGATTGATGAACATCTGGAGGTAGAGCTTGATCTCCTGATTGACTCGCTCAGTTTGACTGTCAGTCTGCAGGTGATAGGCAGTGGAAGGGTTCCCTTGAATTCTGAGAAGCACATACAAGTCCTGCATGAATTTCAACTCGAATTGCAGTCCACAATCATGAATGAGCTTCTGAGGGAGTCTGTGCAACTGGAAGACATGATCCTAATAAATGTGCACCATGCCTTCGGAAGTGAGTTCCGTTCAGGTTGGAACTGTGTGGACTTGCTTGGAGAATCAGTCAACAATCATGCAGATAGTGTTGTAACCCTAAGACTCAGGTAGCTCACCAATCAGGTCCACTGAGACTTCTTCCCAAGGGTGATCCAGGATCCAATGTGGATGTAGGGGAGCCCAAACCCTTGTCTGGTGGGCCTTAGTCTGTTGGCACGTATTGCAACCAGTCACATACTTCAGGATTTCCCTCTGCATTCTGGGCCACCAGTAGTTCTGAGTGATGAGTTCCTGTGTTTTGTGTTGGCCTGGATGTCCTGTGGTCAGATTGTTGTGATGAGCTCAGACAATGTCCTCCCACAGTTTCCAATCCTTCAGAACATACAGTCAGCCTTCCTAGTAAACCTGTCCATCCTCATCCTCCTCCCAATCCCTAGCCTGTTTCTCCAGTTGTTTCACTACAACCCAGTCCTGTGTGTGTCTCAGAGCTCACTGTATACAGGTGACAAAGTCAACATCCTCAGATTCGAGTCGGATCTCTCAGATTGTCTTGGACACAAAACAGGAATTGTCTAGGAGAACAAGATTTTCGTTATCATTCTCCCCCCTTTCATGACCTACTTGTCTCGAGAGTAAATCAGCTTTCGTCATTTGCATTCCAGGTTTGTGGGTCAGCACAAAGTCAAAGTCCTACAGTTCTAACATCCAGCAGGCTTGGCAGTAGTTGAGCTTCTGAGGCACTCAGAAGTACTAGAGATTAAGGTGATCACTCTAAATCTCAAACTTCTGTGCAGCACTGAGGAGATATTGATACCACTCCTCTAGGGAACAGACAATTGCAAGGAGTTCCTTGTCATAGATGGGGTAGTTCTGTTCTGTTACAGAGAGGGATTCTGATTGGAACACTATCAGACACCACTTTCTGTCAATGAACTAGGACAGTACTGCTCCATTTGCAAAGTTGGAAGAGTTGGCTTCGACTCAGAACTTGTCTGCAACTGTCAGAACTGCTAATACAGGCTTGCTAGTGATGGCCTGCTTGAGGGACTCGAACACAGACTACTACTGATCATCCCATTGCCAAGGAACATCCTTACTAGTGAGATTGTGAAGGGGCTGGGCAATGGTACTGAAGCCTCGAATGAAGCATTGGTAGTAGTTTACAAACCCAAGGAACACTTGGACCTGTTTCAGGTTCTGAGGTTGTAGCCAGTTCCAAACTACAGTCACCTTTGCTGGATCCATGCAGACCTCTCCTCCACCAATCACAAAGCCTAGATAATCCACTGACTCCTGTGTAAAAGAGCACTTTGCTTCTTGGAGGAACAGTTTATTATCTCAGAGCCATTGTAGAACTGCTTGGATCAGTTGGTAATGGTGCTCGACTGTCTGGGTGAAGATCAGAATGTTGTCCAGATACACACCAACGTGCCCCAAGTCAATCAGATCTGTGAGGATGTGATTCATGAATGACTGGAACGTTGTGAGTGAGTTGGTTAGTCTAAAGAACATTACAGTCAGTTTGTACAATCTGTGATTGGTTCAGAATGCAGCCTTCCACTCATCTCTGTCTCAGATCCAAATATTATTGTACCCCCATCAAACGTCCAACTTAGTGAAAACCCTGGATGTATGCATCTTATCAATGAGCTCCTGAATCAGGGGGAGCAGGTACTTGTTTTTGACAGTACCCTTATTGAGACAACAATAATCCTGGACTGGGCAGAGCTTCCCATCTTTCTTTTTGACGAAGAAGAAAGGGGAGGCCATAGGGGACTTTGAGGGTCAGATCCAGCTGTTCTGAAGATTTTCCCAAAGGAACTCGTCGAGCACCTCCTGCTCGTCTCTGTTGAGTAGGTAGACCTTGCAATCCTTGGGTTGGAAACCCTTGGTCAATTCAATTGTATAGTCCCAGGGACAGTGTTCAGGAAGCTGGTCAAATTCCTCTTCACTGAAGACTTCAGGGAACTCTCAGACAAAATCCGGCAGGCTGGGTCTGTGTGTGTTCCAGAGTGGAGTTGTTCTGAGGGGGTTCCAGACTGGTTCTGTCTCAGACATCCTTCAGATCGACTCTATTCTGCCTTGACTGGAATATGTATCCACATATCTATCCTAGTCAAAGAAGAACAACTGGTCACCTTCATTGGAACTGTTGGTAACATCAGAAGTGTCTGCATCCACTCAGAACAGTGGTGCAAGGTAGTCACAAGACTTGGGACACTGATTGAACACAAGTGTCTGCTCTAACCAGTCAATGGTAGGGTTGTGAGCCTTGAGCCATTTGAATCCAATGAAGACGTCTGTCTTTCCAAGGTTGGTGACTCCAAACTCAATGCTTTCCTCATGATCCTGAATGGTCATCCATAGTTGGACAAACTCAGTGATCCAACCATTCTGGTTCAGGGTTCTGTCTGTATTGTATACTAGGATCAGAAGTAGAACACATCAAGTAGGGAGGTGGTGTTCCTGCACAAAGGCCTCATTAATGTATGAACCAGTGTATCCACTGTCTACCAGAGCCATTGTTCGGATCTGGGGGGATCCCAAGAAGGGAGCCAAGAGGACAGGGACCTGGAGCTAGTGCCTGGAACGTTCTCAGATGAACTGCTGCTTGTTCTGAAGGGAACATACAGCTTGTGCAGCCTTGTTGTCCAAGAGGGTGAGTATATGCACCAACATTTCCTCATTAACCTCTCTCTTTCAACAAGGACGGACCCATGTCCTCAGCTGTGAACTCAGCTGAGGCCATCCCTGCTTGATACCACAGACAAACCACTGAGTGGTGAACAGGGCTGGGTAACGTTCTGAACGTTCTGAGATCTTGGAATGCAGAAGTGGCAGGTTGGATTGTGCAGATTTAGACTTGGATGAAGTGTGAAGAGAAGAATCAAAAGAATCAGAAGAAATAGGAGAACTATCTACTTTTGTTTTTGACTTTTTTCTTTCTAATAAATAATTTTGTTGATTTATTTTTTCTACTTTTTCTACTTTTTCTACTTTTCTTACTTTATTTACTTCTAATCCTACAGTGTCCATTGAATCAAAAGTGGCCATTAAAAAATCTGAGTCATAGCCCTTCAGCACCACATTCACTGTTGGGCCTCCACAAAATCCTGAGGTATGTAGTCAGGGTCCAGGAGTTCTGAGGTGACTTCCAGATTTGCAGAAAAGGCTTCTCACCACAAATCCTGCTTGTCACTTGTCATCACTCTAATGACCTAACAGATGTGCTGTCACTTCTGCAGGCAGTCCTTAATTTGGTGCCCTGACTTTCTGCAGGCAAAGCATGCTCCTTGCTTTCAGGCTTCTCTAATGTCCATCAGAACAGATTGATTGCAAATTATGGGTGGATTGATCCAAGGGCTTGGAACTGTCAGAGCTGGACACATGTGTAGGTGTTCTGCACAGACTTGACACATCTGAGCCACAGCTTGGTTGAAGGAGATGGTGTGTGTCTTCCACTCAGTGTAGGTAACTAGTTCTAGTGTCATTCCAAGAATCTTATTGACCAGTTCCAGGTGAAGAGCTTTTTCAAGCATTCTGATGAGGACATCATTGAACCCAAGCATGAATCCTGCCTTCTGGGCCAGGATATTGAACTCCTGAAAGAAGGCATCAGCAGAACGTTTGCCCTGTCACAGAGACACAAGCTTGTTCTGCACATTGTGCTTCTCATTCAGATTGATGAAGGAAGCACAGAGCTGCCCCATGAATTCCAAGTACGACTCGTTGTTCTGAAGTTGGATCAGGCTTCCAATCTGATGACCTTCAATCCAGTTCTGGGCCCAGGTGGCTGCATTGCCTTCCTTCATGAAGGAGAGGACGAATAGGACACAATTGAGATCTGAGGATAGATCAGTCAAAGCAGCAGCCATGTATAGTTCGACTTGGCACTGGAAGTCCTTGAAGTGCTGCCCATTGAAGTCCAAAGGGCAGGCTACATGCACTTTCTTTCTGGAACAGGTTGTGACTTCCAGAACGATCAGAACGGGTTCCAAAGGGGCTGGGGGCACATGGTTGGCAAAGGCCTCCTGGATGGAGGTCTGTACGTATTGAGCTAGTTCTGCTTGTAACTGCTGATCCAGCAGGACAGTAGGGGTGGCAGTTGGTGTAGTAGGGTCCATGTCTACACTACAAAGGGATCGGCACTAAACTAAAAGGGGTAATGAATAGAAGAAGGGTGGCAAAAGTTTAAAAGGGTTTAGAAAGTTTAAAATTTAAAAATGTAAAAGGGTCAGGACAAAGGAAAGAGATTGACACAACAGTGTGTACTGATGCCCAAAACGTAGGAGAGTCATAGGGTGGTAATGGGTAGTCTTGATCTGATGTCAGCAACAGTGTAGAGGGGACCTGAAGGCTCAGCAAGGGGACCCAGGCTACAACTATCCTACACAACAGAAATACAGGACACAAGTACTAGAACGTAGTTGGAACTTGCAG